AGACACCACTCACCAAAGTCAGATGCAGAACATTTTCTTAATAAACTTTGTTATGCCAATTGACCTAGATGTCCCCTGAAAGCATGGTCCCCAGACCCCTGCCCCTGCTACTCTGTCCCTCAAAGTATTTGACTGTATTCAGCCTAACTCTTCTGATAGCTAATGCTCATTCATACATTCAGGAAATATTGAGGCACGCTATGGGCCAGTGTCTCAGTCATCTAGTGCTGCTCCAACAGAAATACCACAAGTGGGTGGTTTTAACAAGAGAAATTTATTCTCTCACAGTCCAGTAGGCTACAAGTCCAAATTCAGGGCATCAGCTCCAGGGGAACGCTTTCTCTGTCGGCTCTGGAGGAAAGTCCATGTCATCAGTCTTCTTTGGTCTGGGAGCTTCCCTGCACAGGAACCTCAGGTCCAAAGGACACGCTCTGCTCCCAGCACTGCTTTCTTGGTGGTATGAGGTTCCCATGTGTCTCTGCTCACTTCTCTCTTTTATATCTCAAAAGAGATTGCATTAAGACACTGATCTTGTCAACCTCATCAGTATAAACTCATCACAGTGACAGAATTTACAACACTTGAGGAGATCACATATAATCTCATCATAGTGGTGGAGTTTACAACACATAAGGAAATCACATCAGATAACACAATCATACAATACTGGGAATTATGACCTAGCCAAGTTGCTACACACATTTTTGGGGGGACACAATTCAATCCATGACAGCCAGGTTGTCAATGATTTTATCTTACTTGGATTCACAATAAAAAACCATAGAAGCAGCAGTCGAGAAATCAAATGACATATTGCATTGGGCAAATCTGCTGCAAAAGACCTCTTTAAAGTGTTAAAAAGCAAAGATGTCACTTTGAGGACTAAGGTGCACATGATCCAAGCCATGGTGTTTTCAATCGCCTCACATGCATGCGACAGCTGAACTATAAATAAGGAAGACCGAAGAATTGATGCATTTGAATTATGGTGTTGTGAAGAATATTGAATATACTGTGGACTGCCAGAAGAATGAACCCCCAGACAGAGCGGGAGAAAAATGTAGAACAGAATTCAAATTCACGTAAAAAGACCAGACTTACTGGTCTGACAGACTAGAGGAACCCCTAAAACTATGGTGCCTGGATGCTCTGCTAACCCAGAACTGAAACCATTCCTGAAGCCCACTTTTCAGACGAAGATTAGACAGGCCTATAAAACAAAAGTAATACACGTGAGGAACATGCTTCTTAGTTCAATCATATATACAAGACCAAACAGGCAGATCCAGTCCAAAAGTTGGAGGAGAAGGCAGGAAGGGACAGAACTGGATGAATGGACACAGGGAACCAGGGGTAGAAAGGGGGAGCGTGCTGTCACATTGTGGGGATTGCAACTAATGTCACAAAACAATATGTGTATAAATTTTTGAATGAGAAATTAACTCGAGCTGTAAACTTTCTCCTAAAGCACAATTTAAAAAAAAAAACAAAAAAAAAATGAACAAATCTGTCTTGGAAGTACAGCCAGAATGCTCCTTAGGAGCGAGGATGGCGAGAGACTTCATCTCACATAGTTTGAACATGTTATCAGGAGGGACCAGTCCCTGGAGAAGGGCATCATGCATGGTAAAGTAGAGGGTCAGCAAAAAAGGGGAAGACCCTTAGCGAGATGGACTGACATAGTGGCTACAACAATGGGCTCAAACATGGCAACAATTGTGAGGACGGCACATGACTAGGCAATGTTTCATTGTGTTGTACATAGGGTCGCTATAAGTTGGAACCCACTTGATGGCACCTAACAACAACAAATGGGCCAGGCACTGGGGACACACACCAGGCTCAGACAGAACCTCACAATCTGGGAGGGAGACAGACCCATTAACAAACAATTGCAAGACATGGGCTGGTGCTGTGAAGGATTCAATCAAAGGAGTGATGGAAGCTAGAGAAGGCTTTTCCTGACCTGAGTGAGTTGGAATGGCAGTCCAGGCAGAAGGGAAGCACTTGCAGAGGCACAGAGTCCTGGAGCCCAGAGAAGTTAGAATGACAGCTCCTGAGGTGGAAAAAGGCAGTGGCCAGAAACTGAAGAACCTCGTCTGCCAAGCTAAGCAGACCGAACTTTGTTCTGAAAGTCAGAAGTAAAAAACGGATTTTTAAATAGGGGAGTAATATGCTCCACTTTGTGGAGGATGGATCAGAGGGGGTAAGATATGTGACAGATCAGAGAGAAGGCAACTCCTTGACTTGGTGGGCAGCAGTTGGTGAAGCAAGAGAAGCCAAGGCTGACTGAGTGTGTTGTGGTGCCATTTGCAGAGATAGACACCCCAAGACGGACAAGTCGGGGAGGAAAGGGATGAGTTTAATGTGAGCCATGCTAAGTACGAGGGGCTTGTTCGACATCCACGCAGGGGCAAGGAAGCAATCAGGTGGATCTGTGATCTGGAGCTCCAGAGCCAAGCGTGAGCTAGAGGTGAATAGACACGCAAAAGGCCTTCTCTCACTAGCGACCTGCAGGGCATGTGGGGAGAGGGTAAGCTTGTAGGAAAGAGAGTCCTCCTGACCGTCTTCAGACCTTATCCTTCTTCCCCAGGTGCCCCCACGATCTCCTGAAAGTCCCAGACTTTTAGGCTCGAAAAGCTTCAAATTGAGAAGGTTCTCTCTTATCTACTACATTTTTAATCTTTATCTTTGTGAAAAGGCCGCTGTCACCCAGTTTTTGAGGTAGTGAGGAAGGAACGACAGAGTGATGGGCCGAAGCCCAACTAAAAACGGCTCAGAGACGAAAAATAACGGCGGAATTCCCAAAGCCCGGGCGGGCCGGTTCAGGACTCGAGGGTCCGCTAACCCTCCGTTACGCGCTCCTTTGTTTCCTCCAAGCCTGGGGCGGGGCTAAGGTTTCGCATCCAAGCTGGGCCGCTCCGCCGAGGCGCAGCCTCCGCCCCAGTTGGTGCCCAGAGATCTTCGCCCCTCGTCTCCTCCCCCGACGACGAGCTGCGCTTTCTTTGAACTCGCCAGCTCCGACCCGGACCGGTAGGTGCCCAGCTTGTTTTCAGACCTGACCAGTCGCCTTCTCTCATGCTTGGTGCCGCCGCGGCCATTTTGGCTGAGGGCTGGAAGACAAAGCGACTTGGAGACACCAGGGTGACGTCATCGGGGGCGCGATTGCGTAGGAGAAAAGTTCATGAGACCGCGTTGCCGCCATTTTTTCTGAAGGCATCTTCCAGTTCTGATTCTCGATGTCCCTTCAGCCATCAAATCTTAATTTTACCCACTCTAGTGGCTCCTCGAGAGGCAATTCCTGGTCTGTCTCGGCATTACCGAACGCACTCCGACCGTTGGATCCGGGCCGGGGAGGCGCTTCTTGAGCTCGCGAGGCTCCGCAGTCTGAGGCTCGGCTAGGGGAGGTGACTGCCCCGTCACCGGGGCTGGCGGTTCCCATGGTGCCGCCTCTAGCCCCGCTGCCCGCCGGGGAACCAAACGGGGCCCGGCCCAAGTGCAGGAAGGCCGAGCCCGTGAGCTTCGCGGAAGTGGCCGTGTACTTCTCCCCCGAGGAGTGGGCGTGTCTGCGGCCTGCGCAGAGGGCGCTGTACCGGGACGTGATGCGGGAGACCTACGGCCACCTGGGCGCGCTCGGTGAGAGCCCCACCTACTCGCCTGGCCCCACATTCTCATACATCCCTCTCCGTCTCTGGATCCTGCACGTGGAGTGGGAGGCCTTAGGTCCACAAGTCGGGACCGCTTGGGGCTTCCTCCTCTCAGCGTGGGCTTTGCGTTCTCTCCCCCACGCCCCACCGCAGGATTCCGAGGCACCAAGCCAGCCCTCATCTCCTGGGTGGAGGAAGAGGCCGAACTGTGGAGTCCGGATGCCCAGGATCCGGAGGCAGGAAAGGATCTGATAGCAGACACAGGTAAGGTATTGGGTACTTGGACTTCCTACCGGCGACTTTTCTGTGCCTGACCCATCCTGGTACCCTTTGCTTATCAGTATCTTCCCTGTATTGCTTTCCCAGCTGGACACTGTCTGGCTTCTGGCTTCGGCCTGGAAATGGGCTGTGATTGTGACCCAGTTCTTGCTGGAGTGCCAGACCCCGGCGTACCTGCCTTTCCACTTCAGAGCCCCTGCTTGCTTAGGAGCTCCTCTATCTAGTTGGTCACTAAACTCTGTAGGTTGTAAGTCACATCATCCGTTCTGTTGTTTCCTGCACTCTAGCTCCTCTGCCACCTCCTGTGTTTTAGCTTACTTTTTTTTTGTTATATTTTTGTAGATACCTCGTTTTTCTTGATTTCCAGTGTTTTCTTCCCCGATCATCCATTCAGCCCTTGCACAGTTCCCAGCACCACTGAACTTGTCAGTGCCAGCCATGTTCATGCTTTTTTTCCTGCTGTTCCTGCTGCCTGGAATGCCCTTAAGTATCGGTCATGATCCAGCTCAGATGTTGTCGTCTCCCCTTCCCCTCTCCTCCTCTCCCAGTTTTCCCTACTTTTGAAGCAGAGTGCGCTGTTCTTTCCTTCCCCTCCAGCTGAGGAGAAGGTGTCAATCCTAGCTCCCTCGCTTGTGCTGAGCTGTGTTCCAGAGGTGGCTGTGGGTTTAGAAGGTGGCTGTATCTAAGAGGCTTCTTTGTCACCATGTGGGGTATGGGATTCAAGGATGAGCCAGAGTCTCATATCTCCCCTTATTTTCCAGCAGATTCCAGAAACAAGGAGAAAGGACAAAGGGAAGAGACAGAGGCACTGGAAAAGATCCTTTTAATGGCTGCTCAGCCTCCTGCGCTGAAGGCTGTCAAACCCCCTCCTGCTGTGTTCCCTTATGGTTTGGAACAGCCGTCCAGGGTACCTCATCGAGGCCGCCCCCCACTTTGTGCCCACCCCCCTGTACCCCGAGCAGACCAGCGTCATGGCTGCTATGTGTGTGGGAAGAGTTTTGCCTGGCGCTCCACCCTGGTAGAGCACCTCTACACCCATACGGGTGAGAAGCCCTTCCGCTGCCCTGATTGTGGCAAGGGCTTCAGCCAGGCTTCCTCCCTGAGTAAGCATCGGGCCATCCACCGTGGGGAGCGGCCCCACCGCTGTCCCGACTGTGGCCGGGCCTTTACCCAGCGCTCTGCCCTCACTACCCACCTACGAGTTCACACAGGCGAGAAGCCCTACCGCTGTGCTGACTGCAGCCGCTGCTTCAGCCAGAGCTCTGCCCTCTACCAGCACCAGCGGGTCCATAGCGGCGAGACCCCCTTCCCCTGCCCAGACTGTGGCCGTGCCTTCGCCCATGCCTCAGACCTTCGGCGCCATGTGCGCACCCATACGGGCGAGAAGCCTTACCCGTGCCCAGACTGTGGGCGCTGCTTCCGGCAGAGCTCCGAAATGGCAGCCCACCGGCGTACCCACAGTGGCGAGCGCCCCTACCCCTGCCCCCAGTGTGGCAGGTGCTTCGGCCAGAAGTCAGCCATGGCCAAGCACCAGTGGGTCCATCGGCCTGGTGCTGGGGGGCGCAGGGGCCGCCAGAGTGTCAGTGGGTTGCCTGTGCCCCTGGTTTCTGGTCAGGGGGACTTGGACCCACCTGTAGGCTTCCAACACTACCCAGAGATATTCCAGGAGTGTGGGTGATGGCCTTGAAGGTAACAAGGCAGAGAGTGAAGATGTAGACATTGCCTGAGGCCCAAGGTGGGCCGTGGGGCCTGAGCCTCTGTGATGGCCTCCAAGGAGGACACAGAATTTCTGGCAAGAGCTGGACCTGGGTGATGAGGACGGTCTTGTTTTCAGCCCTCACTAGCTTGACCTGCTGCCACTGTGCTCCCTTCTGCCCCAGACTCTAGAAGCCCCATTTGCTGAATTAGCCTCCTTTGCTGAGGTGAGAACCACCACGAGACCTCCACTGTGCAGAAGAACAGGCTGTTCCTCAGCTCAGACATGTTAAGAGAATTGGGGTAGAAGAGAATCTTATTTTACCCATTGTCTTTCTACTTTATTGCAGAAGTTAAAAACCGATGGCCCCTGTACTGAATCAGCCTTTGGCTGCCTTTTTTTTTTTTTTGGCCCAGATGGCATTTTAAAATGTTATGAATTAATGATAAAGATTTAAAAGTTGGGATATTTCATAGAAATCCAGGTTTCTGGCTGCTCTTGAAAAGTCCAAAGATTTGGCAACTTCGCTTAAACTCTCAGAAAACCACAGCTGGCAGGTGCGAGTAGCAGCTGCTCTCTTTTGACAGAATCTGTGCTCTCCAGTTCACCATGACTCGGCCACCCGCATAACCACCTGGGGGAAGGACAACTTGCTTTGGAGAGGACAGCTCAGTCAGGAGGAGGCAGTCAGGACTGACTCTTGTGCCTTCAGACCAAGTGGTATTTCTTCCATACCAAAGCCCCACTCTTACCCTGTTTTTGAGGGGGAAGGCCCTTAGAGCTCCCTCCAGTCCTCCTTGGGCCTCCCTGTGAGAGCTCTATAGCTCAAGCCTTCTTAGCCACCCTAGACACAGCCAGGAGGGCCTCGTCACGGTTTTGAATTGGAAGAGCTCTTAGTCCCCTCCCCCTTTTTCATTTGGGGTCACTGAGACCAGGGGAGGGCAAGCAACCTATCCAGGGCTTTAGTTCACTGCTGCTTTACCACACCACTCCTGAATTCTTTCTAAGTGTCTCAGGCCCACTCCCTGGGATGACACCAGGCATTGACCTGGACTTGGACTGACCAGTTTGCTGTCAGCAAAGACCAGGTACAAGATGAGCGTGATGAAACAGCCTCATAACAGGCCAAGGCAAGGGAGAAGCCAGCCTGAGATGAGCATTCCAGGGCAAAAACAGAGCTTGCACTATCACTCTCTTTAGGTAGCCACCATCATGAACAATGGGGGACCAGGCCAGGAACGTTTGTGGTTAGCTCCGTAGTCAGAGGGGACTGTATCCATCTATTCCCAAGCTCTGCAGAGAATCCCTCCCCTACCACCTTATGATTTAGTTATCCATCTACCACTAATCCCTTCCTGGTCAGAGCCCAGTTTTGTCCAGGTGACAGAACCAGCCAGCCATAGAGAGACCCAGTCCTGTCTCTGCTCAGGATAACCCTTCACCTCAGAGACAGCAGGAGCTTCTGTCCTTTGCTGGCATGTGTGCATCTGCCCTATTCACCCAACTCAACCGTGACCTGGCCTGTCTTGGAGAGGAAGAAACCAGATTAGTTGTAAGCTAGTCGTGTTAGAGGTCCTTAACTTTAGGAGGGGAAATCAGAATCAGCATCGGCACAAAGCTGATCCCTGTGAGGTGGAGGTCAGACATACCTCCACTCTCCCAACTTTTTTACCATTGTGACACCAGCAGTCCTCCCCAGGGTACTACTTGTCTGCTGGGTTTGATCATTCATTGCAGTGGCCACACACTACTCACAGACCATACTCACGGTTATATGGTTTATTAGGGAAGTAACAGGCTACAACTTGGGATCAGGAATAACCTGGGAGACAGGATACAATTCGTCAGTCGGGACAGCTTCCAACCAAGACAGCTTTCAGCTCCTTCTCGGACATGCTAGCTGGCAGGCCATGCTTGGGCTTTTGTTGCTGGCACCCTCTAGGGCCTGGCCTCTGCTGCCAGCCACTCTCAGGCAAGTGGTACAGTTCTTTTGGCTCTGCAGTCAAGTGCCCAGAGGTGACACACTCTGCCAGCCAGCCTCCTACCCAAAGGCACTCAGTTCTCTCACTCCGTAGGCCAGGAAGTCCACTGCAGCTGTCTTACACTGGTCTCCTGTTTCTTGCTGCCTTCTCGTGCCATCTCCAGTGTTACCACTCTGTCTCCTGGGTCTAGGAGGTTCTCAGAGCTGGGACCCTGGATCCAAAGGACACACTCCACTCCCAGCTCTCTTCGATGGTAATGAGGTCCGTCTCCAATCTCTGTGGAATGATCCTTTTAAGCCTAGCAGGATGGCAAAACTGCCCAATCCCCCAGGCAAGCCACAGTCATCTAATTTGCTTAGTAATCAACCAATCTCTGCAAGGATTTTTCATACCTTATTTGCATAGTAAACTGTTCAGTTCCTTTGCAAGATTTTGGTCTAGAGAATCATCTTGGCGGAACTACAAACCCACGGCCATAAAGGCCATATATAAAGAGAAACTCATTGTGCTACATTAGTTAACCTGGAGAAACTTCTAAAGGGAGAAGTAGAAAATTTGAGGAAAAGACACTGTTTAGGTGGAGTAATGAGCTGACTTGACGCTGACGTAATAAATCTGACCCCACAAAGGTCTCCCTTACCCTATGCTTTTCTGAGAAAGGTTGATCCCTGTGCCACTTGGTCACAAAGGGGACATGGGGTGAGAAGAAGCACCTTGGCAGTAGGCACTACCTCAATGCCAACTTTTGAGCCCCCAGAAGAGCCTATGAATAACCCCTCCCCTCCCCTAGCCCTCAGCTTTGCCCGGGTAAAGCCCAGTTTGCAGCACCAGTACTCAGCCCAGAATCAAAGCCAGATCTGGATCCCACCCTTGGTTTGCCAATTAAAGGTGTCATAAAGTACTACTTTGAGTGCTTTGATGTTTGCAAGGCTTGCTTAGGGCCCAGAAACCAGACCCAACTCCTCTGCCTCCTACTCTCATCACCCAACTTTTTGTCATCCAATCAGTTTTTGAGTATCATGAAGCCCTTAAGCCTCATTCTTAGCTGCTTTCTTGGCACGGTAAGGCTCCCTTTTCTCTCTACTATAAGAGGTCTTTAAGGCTGATACCCAGAAGCAATTTAAGATGGGAAGAGGGCTCCTCTAGGGCTTCACTGATGTTAGGACCAAATTGAGAGAATGCTTGTCTGCACCAGACAGAATGAGCATTATCTGCATGACCAGTTAGAGTGAGAACTACAGGCCATGACCACGTGGCCCATCCCTAGCTTGTCCAAGACAGTAAAGAAAAAAAGGGAGGGCGGTTAATTTGAGTTTCAAGGACCCCTATAATCCCTTGGAATGTTTTTTATATATGTGTCTTTCTAGAAAAGGATGTGCAAAGAAGTCAAAGCTGCTCTGCCCAATATTTTTCAAAGGAAGGCCCCGCCCCTGTCAGAATCACATGGGGTACCTTTTACAAATGTAGCTCCCTGGGCCCTGCCCCTAGACTACTGAACCAGAATCTGGGGGGTGGCCTGTGCGGGGAGGGTAGGGGGGACTCATGCCTGCTGAAGTCTGAGAACCACTGCTCTGAAGAAAAAGTTATCTTCTAGCTGCTCTTAGTTTTGCAAAAGTAGGGGCTGGTCCCAGGGCCTGTTCCAAATCTGTCAGGCCAGGGGATGACCTAGCCATACACAAAAACCCCCATTTCCTATACTATGGCTGGCCTCTTCCTGGGTACCTCCAATCATGCTGAATATACTGCACCCGACAGAAGGCCTGTTAGAGGGCTTGTCCTTTGCATGCAACAAGGGAGCACTTCATGCAGAAGCCCCTCTCACACTGAGAACCTTTGTGAGGGCTAACCCTGGTGTGGGGCTTGTGGTGTTGGCCGAGCTGGCAGGACCATAAGCCCTGGGGGCACACTGAATGGCTGCTGGGCTCTGCCCTAGCGCTGCTTCACACCAGGGGATGATGCTGTGGACAAAGTGTTGCCCAACTCAGGACACACACGAGGCTCCTCCTCACCATGGACACAGTGGCAGAACAAGGCTCAGTGGACTCCTGAGTTTTTCCTGCCTTGAATGAGCTGGTGCTGAGTCAAACTGGAACCCTCGTCAGAGGCTTCCCTGCACTTGGAACCTCTCACTGCTGTGGGTTTGTGGCAGGCCAAGGCTGGCCACCTCTTGAAGACTGTTGAAGTGTGCAAGGCTTGCTTAGGGCCCAGAAACCAGACTCTGATGCTGGAGGAGGCTGGCTGGAGGTCAGCCACTCTTCTCCCACACTAAACACTAGTAAGCGTGAAATTCCACATGGAAATGCTGGTGCCAGATCAGCTTTGAAGCTCTGGCTCAACTCTGCCACACTTGGGGCTTGTGGCCCCTGATATGACGTGTGCAGGCAGTGGACCATGTCAGAGCTGTGGCCGGAGGCCTTGCTACACACTTAGCAAGAGTTGGCTGCTCTCCAGTGTGAATTTAGGGTGAAGTGTCTCATGAAGGAGACATTTGTTTCTCACTTGTGTGAGTGCATTGGGAATGATCAGGGAGTGCTCCAGGTCCAGTTCTTCCCACAATCAGTGTATTTGTAGGGTGTCCTGCCTGTGTGGGCCGTCTAATGCTGGCCCACATGAGCCATTCTTAGCAAAGGTTTTAGGATAAACCCCACAGACACAGGGATGGGAGAGAGACATGGAGCTGGAAGCTATTCCTCGGGAGGGCAGAAAGATGCCCCAGTTTCATTTGTGGAAAAATCTCTGTGATTCTATTTTTAAGATCACTATTGAGATCAATTCTTCAAATTCTTGTTCTCACCTCTTCTTAGGAGAATGGAAGATGCCATCTCTGCTCCCAGCCAGCTTCTTTGTTTGTCCAGGTAGTTGTTAACTGCTGTTGAGTTGATTCCATCCAGGTTGACAGCACGAATACACAGAACCCGTGGCTCCTGCATCACTCACATAGAATTTAGCTCATTAACTGTCAAGAACTGCACCAAACTTGTTTCAGCAGGAAGGGTAGAAAAGTTTCAAGAATCAGATCCTATTGTCTCTCCAAGGTCACTTTCTCCTGGATTCAAAGTTTCATCTGGGGCAGTGTTTCTAGAGTTCCCATTCTCTACAAGCCTCTATTCAGGTCATACAGGACTAGGGGAATTCTAACCAGCCTTCAAGGCCAGATGGTTCTCTCCGTCCGCTTCCCTTCCTGAACTCTGTATCACCCTCATCTAGGAAGGACCCCTATAGGATTTCGGCCTCCCTGTGAGAAAATCCAGGAACCAGGAACTGAAGCGCCCAGAGACTGCGTTAAACTCAGGCTTTGGGGAAGACGGAGGGGAGAAGGGAGAGTAATAGAAAAGAAAGCGGCTGCCTCTCTGTGGGAGGATCTCTGGACTGACCCCTTCAGTACCTGGGACCTGTGTGAAAAGGGAAAGTATGGGGAGTGAGGCGTCTGTCCTCAGATCCTTTGACTTTCATTCTTCAAAAAGATAAAACATAATGGAAGGTAAATAGCGGCGGGAAAAGCCCTCAAAGTGCAGGATGGACTCACAGACGCCGATACCTGCTTCCACTCACCCCCGCAGGCGCTTCTGGCGGACAGTGGAGGTGTAACCAGCCTCGCGTGCCCTTCAACCAATCAGAAAGATTGCCTTGCCTTCCCTGGCGACCATTAACGCCTCGCACCCGTCGGGTAGTAGGGGGGGCAGTGAGAACACAAGCCCCTTCGGCCAATCGCTGAGTTCCCTGTGCGATGGGGGTGGTGCCTCTGGGAACCTGAGGCGGGGATGTCGCCTTGGCAACGATCCCAGACCTCGGGGCGGGGGGGAGGGTTAACAGGAGCAGAGAAGGGAGGGGGTCCAATGAAGCGGGAGTGGGCGCGCCGCGGGTGGGGGTGGCGTATGAGGAAAGGGTCTCAGGCTCAAGGGCCTCCATGAGCCCGAAAGAGGTCGGTCCAGGTTCCCCAGGCACGGTCGGAGCTGACCCTGAGGCCTAGGCGGGGAAGGGAGCTAGAGGCCGCCCCCGCTGGCGCCGGGAAGCGTCGCTCCTTCTCGCTGACCTTGGTATCGCTTGTCGCCTCGCCCTTGGCCACACGCACTGATGGACGCAGGGTCCGGGAGACGGACAGACAGGTTCCTGGACTGACGGAGACCTAGGACATAGGCGCACAAACCGCCCCAGCCCTTCCTGCTGGCCCCGGGGCGCATGTCTGCCCCCGACCCAACGCCGGGGCCATCCAGCCCAGGGTTAATGCCAACGAGTTTCCACCTCCAGCCGCTCCTAGAGAGGCCGCGGCGCTAGCCAGCGGGGGGAACTGGCCGCGGACGGACACTTCCTGTGCGGGGGGAGGGGGTCGGACAGCCGGAGCCCAGCCCGGGGCTGGGGGGCCAGATGGCGGGGTCCCTGGTGGGGAACGGTGTCCAGGGGCGGTAGGGCCAGTTGTGAAGCCCCTCATCTCCGAGACCACGACGCGTGGGGGTCCGTGAGGGCCACAAGCCAAGCCGAGACCTTGAGGGGGGCGGGGCCGCGGAGAGGGAGGGGCCCGGCGGGCGGGAGAGGCCCAGGGTCAAGACGTCCGGCTTCGAGGGCTGTGGCTGGGCAGCCGGGTTCCCTGGGCGGCGCGGAGCGGGCGGGCGGCGAGGGCCCGGGGCTCAGGGCATTCGGGCCGGGTCGCAGGATCGTTCTCCATCGCCGCCGCTGCCACCGCACTGGGAGTCGGCGGGGATGGAGCGGGAGGCGTCGCCGTGGGGCCTTGAGCCCCGGGATATGCACAGTCCTGACGAAACGGGGAGCCTCGAAGGGTCCCTCAGAGGTGAGGGAGGGATCGCCCCTTCGAGGGTCGTGCCTGGGATAGGGAGAGGGACCAGTGGTTTGTGGGAGGGGAGGATAGCCGAGGGTTTGGATCTCTGCAGCTTGGATGGGGTGGGGACTGGGGGCTGGGTGGCTTGGGTTCTACTGAGGGGTTGGGGGTGGGAATTTCAGCACCTTCCCAGGGGCAAGCGACTCTGCTGAGGCGGAGGGAGAGGTTTGTGGCAACAGACCAAATGACCTTCTAGGTCTCACACAATCTGGGTTTTCTGTAATTCTCTGATCCTGCAGGCAACGTAAGTGACAATGAGGAAGAGGAAATTTCTCAGCAAGAAGGCCCTGGGGACTATGAGGTTGAAGAGATACCATTTGGACTTGAACCCCAAAGCCCAGAGTTTGAACCCCAAAGCCCCAGGTTTGAGCCTGAAAGCCCTGGTTTTGAGTCCCGAAGCCCTAGGTTTGTGCCCCCAAGCCCTGAGTTTGCACCCAGAAGTCCTGAATCAGATTCTCAGAGCCCTGAGTTTGAACCCCAGAGTCCCAGGTATGAACCCCAAAGCCCTGGGTATGAACCCAAGAGCCCAGGATATGCACCCCGGAGCCCTGGGTATGAACCCAAGAGCCCCGGGTATGAACCCCAGAGTCCTGGATACGAATCACAGAGTACAGGTTGTGAACCCCAGAACCCTGGATTTGAAACCCAGAATTCTGAGTTCAAAACCCAGAGTCCCAAATTTGAAGCTCAAAGTTCCAAATTCCAGGCAGGTGCAGAGATGCTTCTGAATCCTGAAGAAAAGAATTCTTTAAGCATCCCCTTGGGAGTCCACCCCCTGGATTCCTTCACCCAGGGGTTTGGGGAGCAGCCCACAGGGGGCCTGCCCCTAGGGCCCCCGTTTGAGATGCCCACAGGCACCCTCCTAGCTACACCCCAGTTCGAGATGCTCCAGAATCCCCTGGGCCTGACAGGAGCCCTTCGGGGTCCAGGCCGGCGGGGTGGCCGGGCCAGGGCTGGGCAAGGCTCTCGGCCTAACATCTGTGGCATCTGCGGGAAGAGCTTTGGGCGGGGCT